GACGGACCCTATGATTTCTAATGATCCCGAAAAAGCGGTTCATATGGAGCTGGTTTCTCTGAGTTTACGGATTTCACGGGCTTGACGGAATTCACGGATTCATATCTAGTATCTGGCTTTCATGAACTCATAGCTTGCTAGTATCTGGCTTTGTAGCTGAAAGTTCTGGGCCTTTTTAGCAAGCTGCTTCTGCATTGCTTTTCTTAGCTGACATAAGACAAATATAACCAAATTTAGGATTCAGAATCAACTATTTTTATTTCGGTCCCCAGAACTTTCTGAATATTTTCCCCGAGACTTTTAATTATTCCAGACCCCTCCATTAAATCGGGTGCCACATTAGTAGTCTAGTAGTAGTGTAGTAGTGTAGTAGTTCAGTAGTAGATAGTAGTAGTGGTGGTCCTAGTAGTGGTATGGTAGTAATTACGCGGTACGCGCCATTTGGATGGTTCGCCCCGCCCCGCTTCATCATTTTCAAACAGAATGATCCGCAGAACCCTCCATTACTGCAAACATAGTGATTACATGATGCTTTTTACGGCGAGCATGGATGGCCCTCAAAAAGCGGGGGTTGCGGCGCGCGGTCCCCCGAAATGATCTGTATGAGCCCCCGTCCTCGATGTAAACATAATGATATCATGATGCTTTTTACGGCAAGCATGGATGGTCCTAGAAAGCGGTGGGTTGGGGGGGGGCGCACCCCGCCCATATAGCAGCCTCCCTTAATGCAAACATAGTGATGGCAGAACGGTGTTTCAAGGCAACCATGGAAAATGGACGGCTCTTAAAAAGAGGGGGTTGGGGGAGTTAATGGTGAAAAACTATGAGACCGGAATGCCACAGGATTGGAGGACCAGAGGACCACCGGGAAACAACAACAAAAAACTCAAATTAAACGGTCCTTCAAAGAATGCTTCTACCCCTTCTGCCCGGCTTTCAAAGGCCTTCAAGTTCAGGATGCCGTCTTTGTCAACGTCGAACTTTTCAAAAATCTGGCTGACAGCTCGTTAAACTCTATCTTGCTCTGCAGGGAAGACACGCTCGGTGCAGGCTTCTGTGTCACAATTCGCAAGCGTGATGCTTTTTCGTGTCGCACTGCTGTCCTCCTTAAAGATGCACCTTTATATCCAGAGTCTTTGAGCCGGGGAAGTTCACTCAGTGCGCTGCGAACTCCAAGATCATTTCATGGCTAGACACCTGGAGCGCACTGCGAACGCCAAAGTAAAGGCTTGAAAACCCGCGATCATCTGCGCCGGTGCGGTACCAAGCCACACCAGCCCCAGCTCGGTCGAGCAAATTGGACATCTAGCACCTATCTGCCAAGGCTGGAACCACTCTGCCAACAAATGCTGTGCATTTGCAAAGGTATCTGTTGCGGATATTAGCTTCAGCTCCCTGGCAGATACGGGTAAGACACGAGGCAAAAAGGAAGGTGCGTTCGGAAATCCCATGCTGCCCACAAACCAGGGCCTGTCAGTCCAAATGCCTAAAGCGGTCGCAGTGTGAAGACAAAAGCGGCATAGCCAAACAACGTTTAACTCTGTGTCTCTGAGCACGCGCCTCTCAAGCCTTTGCCCGGAGCATTACAATGAGCACTACAGTGAGCACTGCTGCGTACTTCACACACGGCCGCGGGCCAGCATGCCCAAAGAAGTATACTAAGCCAATCTCATGGGTCTGCGTGCTTGGAGGAGTCACGCTTCCCTGAATAGCCATCTCTAGGTGCCAAAAAACCTTCAGTCCTCCATTAATTAAGTGTGTCTTTCCCAACCGCTTCCAGCTACTTTGGTTTGGCACTTAAAGAGAGAGAAGGCTGTCCAGAGTACCGGAAGGTCTTGCCAAAGCTGTCACATTTGTCACTTCGCCACAAAGGGCCTTTCTCCTGGAGTCCAAAAGAGACCACACAGCCTCCACCCACATGCATTCGTGTTTAACATGCACACTGTGCAGCGTCTGCGGGTCCTGGATAAAGAAGTTAATGCCTGCCCTTTAAGAGGCGTCCCAACCTGACTTTCAAATCTCATCATAGCCCACTCAACCTTTTACTCGTGGAGCCTTGGCTAGAACTTGGTTTGCGCATGCCGCCACAAGTGGAACCGGCTTACAGGGTTGTTTTGCTCCCTTGAAGACTTTGGAAGCTGCTCGACAACTCCAAGACAAAGACATTCTTCATGATCTTCGTCATCTACCTTAGCAGTTCACTCGTGGTAACGCGGCTAGCCTGCAAATGCAGACCCGCAGGCAAACATCTGTATCCCAGCAAGCGGCTTCGCTTGCTCAAGCACACGGAGTGCTTCGTCCACCTGCACAGTGCGGCGCATCCGCGCTGCAGATGAAATAAAGCCCAAGATCCCTTCACTGCACTAACCGGAATGGCTTTGCCTTGGCTTTGAGCTGCGGTTCGCTGTCCAGCAGGATTAACAGCTCAGAGTTGTCCATCTCGAGCATCATACCTGCAAGATGAAACATGTTGTATAATTGACCTTGGACTTGGCGTTGATTGGCAAATTCTGCCTGTGATTTTGCCGGCCAAGTCTGGCTGGTACTTGGAGATGGCAGGGAAGAGCCGCTCGCCAATCATCTGCTTCTGCACCTCAAGCCACGTCACTTTGCCCATTTCTGATTGAGTGGAGACACGCTACATTGACATATCAACTGGGAGTGCTGCCGGTGGCGGTGCAGCTGCCAGGGCTGCAGCTGTCAATTGCTGCCCAGAGCCTCCACACCCGTTAGATCAGTGTCATACAGAATGAAAGTGGCTCAGAAAAACAAGACGAGCTGTAGCCTGGGTTGTTGGCGGCAGGTGCCGGAGTTTGTTGTGAAGCCGGCTGAGGCATCGGGGCAGGCATACCTCGGGCAAAACTAGAGTACCACTGTTTTGCAACACCTAAATGTCTGCAGCTGGCCTGGGCGCATCATCGGCATTTGAGGCATGGTGGGCCGCATCATGCCCATAGGGCCCATGGGACCCATTGGGCCCATAGGCATTGGCATGCCACCCTTGCCCATGGCGCCCGGCATACCCATGGCACCCGGCATGCCCTTGCCCATGGCACCCATGCCCATCATCTGCGGGTTCATTGGCATGTTTGGCATGCCCTTTCCCTTCTGTCCCATCATTCCTGGGCCCTGGCCACCCTGGCCCATCATGTTGCCCTTGCCCATGCCACCCATGCCCATCATCGGCGGGCCTCCCATGGGCATTCCTCCCATTGGATTGCCATACATTTGGTTACCGCCCATACCCATGCCCATGCCCATGCCGCCCTTGCCACCCTTTCCTTTTCCACCGCCCTTGCCCATGCCGCCGGGGGAGTAGCGCTGGCCTCAGCGATCGGACAAAACAACGCAAGCAGCCCAACTGCCTCGACAGCATTCTCTTTCGAGTGGCGCAGGCGCTCCGCGCGGACCTCGCGCTTCTCGGCCAGGCCCACATACAGGGGCTTGCCCTTGACTACCTAGCAAGACAAGAATTTCAAAAAAACTTCACGATGCTTCTGAGTCAAGCTCTGGCCTTCAGATGCATCTCGGTGACCGCTTTTGTCGCTTCATCCGGAGTTGAGAAGCAGACGAAGCCGAAGCCCTGCGCAACAAAAAGGTACACTGCACATGATGTTCCAACGCTCTCTTTGATTTAAACATCTCTGGCCTTGCACTTGCCATTCGCCTCCTGCGGGCACGAAGTTGCTTCTCAAAAGAATTCAAGCTTCAACATGCCGAATGCTCCTCACCTGCTGCTTGAAACCTAGGACTCACTTTCCTGCATGTCTCTAGATGTATGGACGGCATGGATGCCCCCAGCCACCTGCACCATCCTCTCAAAAAAGTGTTCGATGCGGCTGTAATTCAAAAAATGATGCTGGGGGGGCACACCAATCTTCACATACAGAGCAGGCTACAAGATAGCAAGGCGAGTGTCCCCATGAACTTAGGAAATGAGGCTCTGTGATGTCCTTCATGGCGCAGACAGATGTAATGTTGCCAAAAGGTTCGAAAAGGGCTTTCAAGGAGTCATCGTCCGTGGACTCATCCTTAGTGCGAGGCCATGAAAAAAAAGGCAGCTGAGGCTGTCGAGGCCAGAACCAAATTCTTGATGTACAGGTTGACGCCTTGCGAGCGAGACTGTCCTCCAGCCGCTGGCTCCTTTGGTGGCATCTTCTCCTGCAGGAACAACTGAACCATTGAGCCGAACCAGGAGCAGCTCCCCCTGGCCATGCAGCCAGGGCCATGGGTCCTTCAGCTCCAGCAGTCGCTCGGACTTGGACTGCGCACGGGCAACATAGAGCAGGTAACCTGCGGCCAGCAAAAGCGCACAGGGAGCTAGAGATTTTGCAGACTTGACCCTGACAGTTGCAGCCAAGCTGCTCTTCTCTGTGCGATCCTTCTCTTCCTCTTCCTTTTCCTCTATAAGGCTCGCACTCATGCTTCACCGACGGATTCGAGAACCAAGCCAAAGCACACTCCAACAGGCGGGGAAGTAAGAATGACAGGACACAAGAGTCGAAGTCCTTGTCCGCTTCCTTCTGCTCATCAGTGCGAAGATCTTTCTGATGCATAGCAGTGATAGCCTACCGGATGGGCTGGGTTTTTCCACTGAAGGTATGGGCTTTTTCTCAGCCTGCACAGCTTGGTCATGCGTCTCATAATTCAGGAAAGCAGACTTCCGGCCCTGGCAAACTGTCAGATGGACTCCAGTCTAGCAACGGCTGCCTTGTTGCATCTTGTGCCTTGTTGTCACTGGTCACGTGAGAAGATGTGATCTTAGTGTCGGACTGCTATGTCACTATGTCTGAAAGCAAGCAGCCCAGAATTTCCTGAAGTTTGCCGTGAGCATGAGCTGCTGGCTGCGCCGTACGCTGCGAACTCACTCTTGACCTTGTCCTTGGAACAGACACGTTCCCTCTGCCAACGGGCGTGCCAGTGTCATGCTATTTACGTCCTCATCCCACTCGTTCGGAAAGTTCTTGATGTAGATCTCAGCACAAACAGAATGAGGCAGAAGCGACGATTTGTGCTCGAGTCTTGGCCCGTGGCGTTGGTGAAGGTGTTCATGGCTGGCTTCTCACCTTGGCAATGATCTTACTGGCCGTAGCCTCTTCTGGCCTCGCAGCATTCATCCTGCTGCACCGCAACTAGGCTTCCCACGATCTGAACGCTTGACGAATCCAGTGACACCCACCTCTCGCACATTGCATCTTTGACAGATCACATCCGAAAAGCATGTGTGTACTTTAACTTCGTGACTCTTGCACGTGCAGATTTGCCTCTCTTGCCAAGGCTCAGGCCGTCTTTTCTCCGATCTGCATGCCGTCAACGCGTTCGATGGCCTCTTCCAAAAAACACGGTATTCCACGGTCACGGCATGTCAAGGAAGCCGTTGGCCCGGCCTGTTTGGCCGCCTCTTCGGTTTCGTAATGCACCTCAGGCCAAATGCGCACACAGGAGTCGTCCGCCAGAATCAGGCTAGGCCCGATAGGCCCCAGGCAAAACCGTAACCGCGGGACTTACCATCTGGCCCCGTGCAAACCTTGCGAGCTGAAGTCGGTGAAGTGGGTTTAGGGCAATGTACTTGGCTCTGTACGGACCCCTTGTTCCATGTAGTGACAACAAGGCGAGGCGTAACTGCGGATGAATAGGGAGTGGACTATGCATGCGCCCTGCTGTCATCTACAAGGGAGAGGGCAGTACCCATAGCATGTGTGGCTTCTCAAGCTTCATCTTTCCTTAGCTGTGTAGCCATGCCTTTTAGCTTGATGAGAGGTTCCAACGCCACAAGGGAGTGGTGTTTCTTCGTGGACGCAGGGGGGACGAAGAAAGAGGAAGGAAAAAAGGAAGTAGGACCATGAGACCTCTGCAAGTGAACATAACTTGCCACTTGCCTGGTTGCATCGACTGCGCTATGGCTTGTAAAGTTTGCCGCAGGGCACTGTTTGCTGCAAGTGCTGATCCGTGCTTATACTCTTCAATCCGTGCCCTGGCGTGACCACTGACAAGACTCCAAGCACCGCAACCCATGCCTTGCAGGAGAGGATGTTTCCAAAGAGGCTGAAGGTATCGTACAGGGCCTTGTTGTCAATGTTTCTGTCCAAGTTTCGGACCTGGGTTCTGCAGTAGGACGCGCGCTCTTGGCACTCACGTACTGATGGCCAAAAGGTCCCCGCAAAAACGTTGCCAAGACCACCTGCCAGTGCCGCAGGCATGTGCAATCATGTGCAGCATGCCATCCGCTCCAGGCTGTTAGCCAGCGTCCGAGGCTATGGCTTTTGCGAAGGCTAGGGTCGCGCTGAGACCACATGATGCGGCAAGCACGCCCCTGTAACAGGTTTGCAGGATGTGAAGCGGGCAGCGCAGTAGCAGCCCATGCCTTGATGCTTGAATAATTCAGCGTGTCCAGAGCACGTTCAGCATCGGAAACGCTGTGGAAGTTGACATAACCTGGCAAAGCAACATGGCGCTGAGAAGAATTGAGTCGGATCCATATGCAGCCAGGACGCCATAACCAAGAGACCTGGCATACAACATCTGCTGGAGGCCTACACTTTCGGAGCCTCCTTCCTAGACTCTCCAACCGAAAAAATCTCTCGGCGCACTTTCGGGAGACGCTGTCGCGGCACACACGGATGGATGCGACGGGTCCAACTGAGTTGAAGATTTCGTAAAGCATGGCCTGCGCTGAGCGCTGCAGGTGTTTCCTTCCGCAGTTCATCGTCTGTAGCTTTAACAACAGGAACGCGGCCTCAGTGACATCTGGATGAAGGTCACCCACGTACCTTCCAGAACCAAGCAGCGCTTGATGTAGGACATGAAGCACAACCCGAAGGCAAGACTTCAGGCAGCACTGCACCGCAGCCCCTTCTGAATGCATAGAATGAGCGGCGCACAGGGATGCAAACTGAGGTACCTCAGTTTTGTTTTGCACTCTGTGGGTGCATGTGCCTGTATGATTTTGTCGGTACAATGCTCGTTGCTGCCATGCCACTCCCGCCATGTCTGCCTGCAGGTCCACATCTGGTAGCGTTATTTTGGACAAGGCTGCAGCTATCTCACTTCAGTCTTCAGTCACAACCAAGTGCCTTGAATGCTGCGCCGAATACATCATGACCCTCTACACAGTACAGTATCTACCCCGAAAGTAAGGTCGCAAGTTATGCCCCGCGCAAGGTGTTAGCACCGGCAAATCCTGATGAGAGCCGTTTGCGCTCTTCCCTTTGGTTTGGGGGCTTGGCTGAGCGGTCACAGGGCGGTTGCAATTATGGTTTGAAGGTCTGTCAGGGCAACTTGGTTTTGTGCACAAGGCAGCGGCGCTTGTAATAGCGTTTAGCCTTGGTGACCAACGCCAAGACCCCACAAAAAAAACAACCCGGCAAAGAAGACAAGATGACAGCTGGATTACCGCCTTCTTGACCTTGGGACAGGCTGCTGAAACCATACCATAGGGAACATTGACATGCAACGTGGAACCATAGTGATGCACAGTTTTCAACTGGTCATTGGAAAATTGGTGAGTGTCTCATCGTTTGCCAATTTCCGGGGCATACGTTGTCGTAATAGTCTTTGGTGAGTGTGTTATCGTTTTCCCAACAAAAACCTGCGTCACGAATCCAATTTCTATCCCTTAGATGTCTCCTATGACAGGTAAAAACGCAAATATCATATACATGAATCCAAAAAGATTGTTGGTGTATGATGTCCGCTGTTCTTGCAGACAGCAGGCTGTAAGCACTGTAAGCGGAGGGGACAGGAGAGGAGGGGCAATACCCAAAGCTCGCAAAACTCACAATGCCGAGGGAGCCTCTTATAGGTTGGATGAAGATTTGAGGACCTTGGGGCCAGCTAAGGTTCGGACCAGGAGAAGTGAAAAGAGCGCTTTGAATAGGCCTGCACAAATTGTGAGGGAGCATCTTTGCTGTTAGCAATGCCACATGCACAACAAAACGAATGTAGGTGCTTTGTAGGGCCTCAGTGCAGAGCGCTGCCTCGGACGCAGCACGCAGCAAGAGACTGGAGAAACCTGAGTGTGCAGTGCGTGTTAAGGCACAAATTGTGCGAACATGTTTGCAATGATCGCTAAGTCTCCAGCAGATTCTTTTTGTGGGTTTTATAGGGTTATGCCTCAGAAGCGCGATGGGAAAGACTTCAAACAAACTCTCCTCTCACCAATCAAAAAGCAGATGGGGAGGATGCGATTTTTAAGTGGACTTGGTGGGGCGGACCCCTGGCCTCATCCACTGCTTCTTTGAGCCCAGAAGCAACGCCAGTTGAGCTTGCGTTTTCCATTGCAAGAACGCATCATAACGCATCAAACCAAAAGTTACAGCAACCACTCAGACACGTAGGGCACACCTCTACAACCATCTGCTCCTCTTCCTTGCTCGGCCTCAGCATCGACTAGCTTACCTGGTAGGCATCACATGCTGTTGTGGCCGCAGACTCTTCGTCCGTGCCAAGACTGTCCTTCAACAAAACCATCCGAAGGTGCAGTCCTGATGACAGCAGTCCCCAAACCATGATAGCCGGTCCATGAGGCCCTCAACCGTGTCTTTGAGGGCACCCTTCCATCCAAAAGGATCGAAGGCCTGCTGCTGTGCGACTAAGGCAACACGTCAACACAGCAGTTTGTGCATGCACTGGCCTCTGCACGTCTTGCCAAGCGGCCTCTTAAACTTGACGCCTCGGCACAGGATTGTCAGAAGATGCGTAGCTTTGGGTTTGTGCAAGGCAAGCTCAACAAGCTCAGCTCGTTTGCCCCTCTGCTCCTCACACTCAGCCCAGCCCAGCCTGCGTCTGTCGGATGGCGGCGGCACTCACGGTCGAGCCCAGCCTGCAGCACAGCAGAGCTCAAGCTGCCTCCTGAAAGACCACGATGTAAACCATGGCCACGTAGGCTCCGCGCCAGGCGAAGCTCAAGCTGAGGACTTTCTCCTCGAGACCCCGAAATCACTGCAAGCCAGGGGCTGGTCAGGATGAACTAGCCATGCTAGCCTGTACAAGGTAAAGCACCAAGACCGCCGCAAAACCTGACGGGAAATGCTGAGCTCACCATGGCCGACATCGAATTGTCTGAGATGTCTGAGGCTGCGGCCAAGCCTCAAGGCCTGAGGCCTTAGCAGTTGAATATTTCATTGAAGGCTGGAGGCTGAGGGCCGGACCTGACCATGCACTGGCGCATGGCTGGCGGTTTACCCTGCCTGGAGAGAATGACAAAGGCTGCGCCACATTGAAGCACATTCACCATTTGCTATGCAAATTAGCCTGGCCATGTCTAAGCGGCCAGAGGAAGGCATTCGATGCTTGGGCCGAGCAACGGGCAGAGCGAGCAGAGCGATTGAAACAGTTTGGAAATCTTCAAAGAAAGGGTAATCCTAATTTCCAAGCGATGAACAATAACCCGTCAGTGTTCCTACGAACATCCTGCCACTGCGCGGGTGGGCTCCTTCCAGGCCTGCGTTGCCTTGTGATGCTCGCCGAGGCACACGAGCTGGGAATACCTGACAGCAGGTGCATGAAACTATCTTACTTACCTTCATGATTGCTGAGATCGATTTCTTGGCGCGAGGCTCGGCCAAGCTTTCGAATGCGGCGACAGCAAATTTCCAATATCTCGACCTTGAGACTTCCCGCTCCAAGCATAGTGAGGTGAAGCAGAAGTCGAAAGCTGGGCTTCAAACCATGCGTTGTGGAACTGCTGGATGCTGTCTAAGAGCGCCACCTTCTTTGAGAAGACGTCACGTTCCTGACAGGTCCAACCCGATTCGGTTTGCTTCTGCAAAACGCAAGAAGCGTTGAGGCAAACAGAACCGGGTCAGAACCTCGGTGAAGGGTAGCTGAGGATACTAGATCTAAAGCATCCTTGTTGCTGAAGCTAGGCTGGCTTGTTGAATTTTGCTAGCAGCCTGGCGTCAGGAACAAGTTGACCAGGCTCCAGCCCCGTTTCCCCTCACCTTAAGTCTTTGAGAGACCATGGGGAACACAAGTTACCTCTTCTCCATGTTAAAGAAGGGTGCAAGACTAGCTTCCAAGGTTTTCTGAAGACTTTTGGGCTTCCTTCTGCGCAAATGCTAACAGGACCTGGCTACGTTGCCAGAGGCTGATACCGGGACGCAGGAGCTTCTACCAACACCAAGCAATGAATCGCTAAGGTTTGCCTCCACTGGTCTAGAGACAGGGGCCACAGAGCACGGGTACATACCAGTCACGCCTCTGGCATAATGGCCAGCCCTCTTGTCAAGCACACCTACGAGCAGCCTGCGTGCCCTTTGCCGAAGTGAATGGGTGCTAGCGTTCATTAGCGAACAGCCGGACTCATCAACAACTGCACATCTTCTGGGCCTGCGCATCGCTTTCGCGCATCATCCTGTCTTCTTGGACCTTTTCCGGACGCAGAAGTTCTAGGAATGGCTTTAAGAATCATCGGACGGCACTTGTCCTGTCAGCACCAATCCGTGAACCACGAGTCGACATTCATGTGTGGAAAGTGAACCACTGGGACCACACTGCAACCTACAGGGCATATGACTGAGGAGAGTTACTCAAGAGATGCCACCAACTAAGAATGTAAAAGCCACCCAATGAGAAGGACATCTTGCAGCACCATGGAGCTAAGCTGCCAAGGACTTGGGCTACCTTCTCGCAAAATTATAACACCTATCAAAAACGGCGCTAAGCGCAAAGGTGCAGCAGAACCACCCCTTCACACAGCATAGTCCAATCGCACAACTGCTCCCTTTGTTGGCCAGTCACGTCCATCGGGAAGCGCTCAGTGTGCAGCTTCGCCAAGGTCTTCCAGCACATGGAAAGGATTCTCTTACAATCTAACGGCGTGCAACAAGGACAGCAATCTATCCTCTTGCAGAAATTTGTGGTCATCTAGGAACATAAAATCAAGCAGTGCTCAAAGTTTGCCTCCAAAGCGCAGATGGCCAAAGCGAAGCTGTCCAGGTTCCTGGAATACCTACAAGGCCCACATCTGGACATACACCATTGCTGAGCAGAACTCCAAGCTCAAGGCTGGGTCTCCAAACTTCCTTCCAAGGCCTGGGATGCAAACCCAAGCATTTTGGCCCTCTGACTTGGGGCAATGCGCCTGCGACCCACAAAGAAATCGAATCCATGAGGCTGGACCCCAGTACCTTTAAAGCAACTGTGCACCCGAGATCACGAAGGAATTTTATTCAAGTGGCTTTGTGAAAAAGGTACCGTGCCTTGCGTCTCCTGTCGGATTCTCGAAATCCCAAGAGCCCTGTCACACATTTCAACAAACTGCTAGTACAACATGCTGCAACATGACACAAGCAAATGCTGCTAGACCTCTGCACCGGACCCACTGCTCCATGCATGGAAGTCAACACTGGATCCGAAGTCCAGCAAGGTGAACTGGCAGTTTTGGAAAGCTTCAAAGATGCCGTGCTCTTTGGAAGAACAGCCTCCAAAGCCGACGCATCGCCGGGCGCCACACCTGCCTGGCAATGCTGCTTAAGCTCAACTATCCACCTCTCACAAGCGGTGGGCTTCCTTGAGTCTGAACTTAAACTGTGCTCCAAAATCAGAGGATCTTTGAGGGGATTAGCGCTCGCAGTACCAGCAGGGTAAGAGAGCGTTTTCAGTTTTCAGGCCTTTGAAGCAGGTCAGGCATGTCTCTGTCTCAATCCCACCTGCCTTGCAAGGTCGGACTTCCGTGCAAGCGACCAGGAGGTTCCTCAACTGGCTCGCATAGCCCTCATCCCACTTGACCAGAGTCGCAGCAGATTGCTGTCAAAAGTAGCCGTGTGCTGTCTTGTTCTGCCCTGCCTTGCATTCACATCCCGGTGCATTGCGATACGGCCTCTGCTGCGACATTTCTTCACAACTTCGGATTCAGGTTTTTGTTTACCTTAGGACTGACCGCGCTAATGACATTCAGAGAAAATGCTGGAAGTAGCATCGAATCCCTCTGGGGACCTGTCTTCCAGAGAGAGAAGCTTTCCAGGGACAACAGTTTTCAGGGAATCTAGCAAGGGAAAGATTATCTTATTGTCAGAGGCTCTTTGAAGACATTGTGGCATGTTTACACGGAATTCTTTCCCGACCTTTGGGGGCGTGTTGCATGGTCTCAGGAGACGGAAAGAGGGTGAAAACCTTTTCTCCCCTTGGGTCATTTCCGGAAGAACTAGATAGAAGAATAGAAGAAGACCTTGACGGCTTTAGGCAGATTCTATTGGGATTTGGCTGATGGTTTTCGGTTTTCAGGTCGGGAAAGCGTGATTGTTTCATGATAACTGCAAGATGATTTTGCGGGTTTCTGATAGCTTTTTTGCAATGCTGGTTTTTCGATGGCCGTGCCGATGAGTTCGTGGGGCTTCGATCACTTCGAAGGTGGACTTGGAGGGGCTGAGGGCTTTGCAAGCCGCTTTAAAAGTACTTCATAATGGGTTCGAGTGACACCTCGTGTGCGAGCATCATCAGCACAATTGGGTGTCCATTTATACTGAAAGCAACTTCAAATTCACATGCGCTGTTGAAGCTTCGCCCAAGTGCGCGGAAGCAGATTAGATTCTTCAGGATTCTCGGGATCCCCCAAAACCCACCAAAAAAACAGAACATTAGCATTGACTTGTTTGAGCACCCTGCCCCCAGGCCCATCTTGGGCCCGAGCTGAGTAAAGACTGACAGAGACTTTAAGTGACGCTGCCCAAGGGAGCCAGCATTATCAGAAATAGTCAGGGTCCGCTTATCGCTTCCCAGGCGACTCGTACTGACTTCCGGCCTCTGTTACTCTTGCTGTCGCTGGCTCTTGCAGTTAATTACGAAGGCAGTGCGGCCGGTCCACACCGCCGAGAAAACCCTAAACCCTAAATAAGAGCTGGCACTGTTCAATGAACCTTGGCGTGGTTTGGGTGCCTACTTCACACCGCTAGGCCTGAAAGTATGCTGATCTCATGCAGGTATGTTCACCCTCTTAGTTTTTGCTGCATGTTGGAAAGGAATCATCTATGGTAGGGGCACGTTATGTTATTAGGGGCAAGGATTGGTGCAAATCTCAGCTGCGTGCCGTTCAGCTCTTGGAAAGTTGGCGCCAACTGGCATAACAGCTCCTTCGAAAACAGCGGCGAACGGCCAGAAGAATGACCCCTACCTGAATTATGCGAGACATCAACTTGCATTTCTGAACGCGCACAAAGGCACAGCCAATGCAAAAATGCGAGACTCCACGCAGAAAATTGTAGAGCAACAAGGACCAACTGCATGCACAAATGATGAATGTTGGAACCCAGCGATCCCTCGCTGCAGCTGCTGCATGCATGAACGACGCGCAGTACCTGCAACTGCAAGAAGACATGTTGCATCTTTCCTCAACTGCACACTTTTGGGCTCAAATGCATCCTGAGCGCTTCACGAACACATGCTGGGTAAGCAAGCCGACGCACTCAGAAGACACCGTTCCTGCACGAAGGCAGATCTGAGGCTCAGCCGCCAGGATGCAGCGAGGGCATGCTGGCAACCTGGAGCCATGAAATCAGGGCTTGGCCATCTCGTCGTGTCATAACCACCTCAACACACCAGCGTGCGGTCATATGAGCCTTCCACGCTCTTCCACGCTGTGGCCTACAGGACTGGGGCAGGGGCGCGGCAAAGATATGCTCCAGGTTCTCTGGGCGACAGGTCCCATATCCTTATAAACTCACATCCTAGAAGGAATCGAGCTACTGATCGTTACGTGTATGTGCGAGCGCACTGGTGATCAAGAAGTCTCGGAACCCGCAGGTCGCCTGAGTCTGCAACGCTTCCTCAAGCAACCAGAAATGTACCTGGCTTGAGGAGTCGACTAGCATCCTCCGAAGCATCAGTCAGCTGCCGCATCACCTGATGACTCAGAACATCACAAATGAGAAAAACATCCCGCCGCATGGTTTTTTCTGTCCTGTGTTTGGTGTGAGAATAGTACTCTCGCCACAGTTTCGGCCAAGTTTCAGTGACTTCCAGTGGCCTAAAAAAGCGTGCTCAATTTTTAGGAATATTGCTGAGCGTGGGGTTTTGGCGCTATTTCGGCTGCAAGGAATTCGTATAGAAAAAGGTGCAGAAGGCAGTGAATCCACTGTAATTTACAGTGCTTCGGGTGTTTTCGGGTGCAGATAATCCTCGTTTTCGGCGGGGCCCGAACTTTATGCTATTTGGGTGATTTGCTCACGCGAAAATGTTGGGGCAAGTCATCGACAAGGATGTGCTTTATGCTGTTTTTTGCATTTGAGGATATCGATAGCCAGTCACGAACTGCTCCTGACCAGCTCAGTATGTTGGCCTTGACTGAAATATCGCGTGCCAACCGGCAAATTAGGATGTATTGCGGAGTAAATGGCCGCTTCTGAGGTGCTGGCCTTTACCTCAAACATTGCCCTCTGCACGCTTGCGTCTGGCAGTATTCCAGCTCCTCGGCCGCACCGCATCTCCTTCACAGCAACCTGACGCAACATGCAAAGCTGCATGCAAGACCAATGTTCCATGCTTGCTGACTGACCCAGAGCGATGCCTCCTGCCCGGTTTCTTGGTTCACAGCAGAGAAGACCTAGACAAGAGTGATACTTCACGCATCTTCACGCTGTTTGGATCCATCTCACGTTCAGATGCAGACCCTGGCGTACGCTCCTTCACCAATGGCCTGGCAGCATGTCATTGTGGTGCAGTCCAACCGCGCTGTTCAAATTCGAGCCTCCCCCACCCTCAATGCCATCTTGCCAACCATAATCACCTGGAACATTCAGGGCCACGTTTCAAAACAACTGCAGCCAATGCAGAGTTTCCGCAAGTACGCTGCAGCATGTTTCAGCTCTGTTCTTCTGGAAGCTTCACAAGCCTGCCCGGCCTGCCCGCTCATCAGTGGAAGAGGCTCGCAGGGAAGCTGCGGCGGTTGCCACTTCAACTCCTCCAACGAAAGCAAAGCTTCATTAGTGACCAGCTTTGGATGAAGTTCAGGTGCAAGTATGCGCAAATGACAAGTCGCGCTGTAAGCTGGTGATGCATTTTTAACTACAGCTCGAAGCAAAGCTCATCACACCTCCAGGGCCCAACTTCAGACACGGCCAGATCCTCCGAATTGAAATTCAGAACTTGCGGAGATTTGCGCGCACGGCTGGCCCCTCGGCCGACGTGAGGCAGATACATTTCCAAGGGGCCACGCGCGATTGGGCTGCATGGGCGCCGCCACAACGATCTAAATCCTGTGACCGTCATCCTCCCTAGGACACCCTAAGCAATTCAAGCCCTCAACCTTCAAGCCCTCCCAGCAACCCAAGACAGCCTCAATGCGGACAGCTGAGTTCCAGGCGCTATCCCGGCAGGCTTCATGGCCGTCGCCTGAAACTTGTCCATGGCCTAGAGCCCATGGCCTTTGGCCTCGGGTACAGCACCCATTGACAGACAGACACAAAACCAAGAGTTGCATTGTCTACACTGGTGCGTGAGCCATTGATAGACGACATTCTTGTACTCCTGCAAAAGCAGCCACACACCTCCTGAAGACGAGGGTCCCGCTGCTTGCTTCTCGCGTCATCCATATCGTGATGAAGTTAAATGTGCAAGCGCCAGCAGAGTAGTTGCGCTGCGTCCTGTCTGTGGCCATGCTGCGCATCACCCCTGCCAAGTCCACTGATGGCTGACTGTGACAGTTGTACCTTCTTGCTGTCATTCAAGGAGTGCCTTTGGGCATACATTGGCTTGCACGAAAAGACACAACAGAGCAGAGAACCTTCTGCTTGCGGCAATGTTGCTCTGGCATCTCTTGACCAGAACAGAACACTGCTGAGGTAGGTCAATGGCGGGGACGCTTCCAACAGCAGGCAAGGAGACCGAGGATCACCATGGACACGGCCAAGCGGTAGGAAGTCTTCATAAGAGGCCGACTGGCCGGATCTTGCCCCAATGATGTAGCAGGAGCCTGAGCTGAATGCTTTTTTGGAAATCGGCTAATGCTGATGTAATCAGTTTAGCAATCAAGTCGCTAGCTTCTGGAGCTTGCCTAACTTCTCGGCAGCATCTGGCAGCTCGGCCGTAGCCAATGCGAGAATGAGCTTGTCCGGACTGTCAGACACACAGACCATTCTCTGCGATGTCAGGGACAGGAATCCTGCCAGCGATCCGCGAGGTTCTACCCTGGCACACCCCGACAAGCATGGACAGAGCCTGCCGCGCAGCACATTGGGCAAAGCACGCAAGAAGTTGCTCCGTGCTGTATCCTGCTCTAGGCACCGTAGGCAAGAGCAGACAAGAGGGTCAACACATCTTCGAGTCAAAGGGATCAAAACACCGAATCGGGGAGAACTCTTGGCAAGCGGCCAACTTGCAGACACCTGTTTCGCGGGCCTATAACATCTGCACTCAGCACCCTAGCACACCTTTTCCAACTTCTCCAAGGATGCAGCTTCCATACGGATATACGCCCCGAGGACGTACCCCCCTTTCAGAATTGGAATGCGTGAGGCAGACGTGAAGCGCTCGCATTAAAGCATTCGGCTATCCGCTGTCTAGATCCCTTCCCATTCCCCTTCCCCCCCCCCGCTTCTAGTTTGTCTTCTAATTTTTTTTCTTCTTCCTCTTGTTGTTCTTCTTCTTGGTGAATCCATCGCGCAATCCCTATAGCTCACCTCAGCTGGTTCCAAGAACTGCGGATAAATCTTTCTGCTTCCCATGGTGTCACAACCGCTAGAAGCACTTCTTGCTCCTAGCCGCTGAGTTCTACATGCTCGACTCTTCTATTCAACCCGAAGCAGACTAAAACTGTGCCGATATCCTCGAATCAAAAATGAAAGCGCTGCCCCTCCTCATACAACATACGAAACTTATCCCCCTCTTTGTTTTTTTGCCTTCAGCCTCGCATGACCTCTGCTTCGCTCCGCATATTCCCCTTTCCACAGCAAACTGATATAATCTCAACCTGACAGGAGGAGCCCACAACATCAGGCGTGTCCTGCTCGACGTGCATGCTCTGCCCACCTCAACAAGTCGTCCCAGAAGCCCCACTTGTTGAGCAAACCCACTGGCTTGAGGTGAATGTTCAGCCTCGGATCTCAGATCATATTAGCACGTGAGTCTTGCTTGCCACTTGCCACCGCCTGGCCAAGAAGCTGGGTCCATGTTGCAACTTCTGTGAACTCCTCAAGGGTGCCCCATCCTCCGGGAAGAGCAATGAAAGCGTCAGCGAGTTCGGCCATCAAGGCCTTCCTGCACTTGGAAACGACATACTGGTCACAAACGACTGCATTCTGAACTCAGATCCGGCCGCTCCTCTCGTGCATGGACTCCACTACCCTCAAAGAAGTGCACCCAGTGTGCGCCACCTCCTTTTCTACCAGGCTCCTGAACTTTTTTTCGAGGCTGCATTCATGTTGTTCATGTCGCTTAGCCGCTTGGCTACTGCTTGGAGATTCCTTGGGATGACACCCAGAACTTCGCCTCCTTGCGCCAGCGCAGCGTCGGCCATGGAGCCCATCATGCCTGCCTTCCGAGAAAAAAAAAACAAGAGCACGAAAACGTTTCGGAATATGCGCTTCTCTTTGCGTTCCTTGCCACCACCGAAAACAACCCCGATGCCATGCTCTGCCAGTGCTTTGCCCAAATCTGCAGCACTTTTCAAATACCTCTGCTGCCCATCGGGATGGAATTATGTAAAGCGCGTGCATCCGAGTTCTTGATGCTGTTTCTTTCAAGTCGAGGCTCGCTTCATCCACCTGCGAACTGCTGCCGCCATACACGCAAATCCGCTGAAAGTGCCTCTCCTGCACTAGCAAGTACGACTATGTCTGGCTGCAAGTTCAGAAAAGGCTTTCCCACAAGCTTCACACATCGAGAGGTGTGCAGCCCTCGTTTGCCCCAGAGCAACGCCTAGGGCCTAGGAGAGGAACGCGCCGGAACTTTGCAGGTGGCTGTTGTGTAACTTTAAAAAACAAAGCTCATGAGAAACAAAGACAATGCACACAAATTTGCGGCTCATGATGATACCTTGATGTTCAAGAAGGATTGGTACCATCCGCATACTCTTCACCAAAGGTAGACCTAGAAGCAGGGAACTCCTGCACAGCACCGCCTGCCATAATTGCCGGAACGATTGCTAGAAGAAGGAGGCTACCCAAGCATGCTTGGGGAATTGTTGAGCCAAAAGGATGCGCACATGTCTTGGATCAATCAACTTTGCAACTGTTTTCTGGAAGGTGATCCTACAGACAGGCAGTAGCAGCTCCTGCGTTGGCTTCAGCTCCATCGGAGGTGGGTCAGACGGCCGCCGCCTTGGTCAAATTAATGGCAACCACTCGCTGCCAGCTCAAAGTTCAGAAGCTAATCGGCAATTTCTGATTCTGGGTACAGTACATTCTTGCCTTCACGGGGCCGCGGCACTTACTGCAGTCTATGCTTGCTTAGAGACATTGCCGGCTGACGGATGCAGCAAGATGCAGCCAGGGGACACCATGTGCAAAACAGGCCTTGGCAACACACAACCACATTCCTACATCCTAACATTTTTTAGCACGCTTGACTTGCTAGATTCCGTTGGATACACTGCACCTTTCCACTCGCTTGAGCACCACACACCACGGGCACAGGCCACCGCTGCGATGGCGTTGGGCTACTGACACGAAAAAGGGGCACCTGCACGACGCACATCGCTTGAACTGTAATTGGCGCGATGCATTACCGTCTGAAACCTGACTTGACGGCATGTAGCAGTCAGAACTACAATGCAACAGCCTACAGAGCAGCGAAGCTTTTTCCGAGCCTGCGTCGCTGCTGGCACTGTCATTGGTGAGCGTGCCGGCGATATGGTGCGAGGGTACAGCTTCCTAGCAAATCGGCAGCCACACATCTACATGCTGTCAAGTTGGAGGAATGAACAACCAGAATGGCAGGAAACTTACCCGCGATCGTTGCGCAATGTTGCACATCAGTCAAGCCTGATCTGCCCTTCTTCGCAGTGAGTCGGCATGGCCTGAAGCAACGACTGAACCAACTTGGTCAAACAGGGCGTGCACCCGCCTTGACATGCTGATCGACGGGCAGCAATGGTGGCCGCAACACTGCCGCCCCAGGAAAGACAATCCCCCTGCGAATAGAAAACAGATGTTACCGTGGTCCCGCCCACGGACAGAAGTACAACAGGCAGTGAGTAGGGAATTCAAGTTTGCGTTGGTCCTGGAAGTTCGAAGAGCAAGCGGCGAACCTTGCCTGGCTTCAGTAATGCGTGCATGTCGTGCAGCAAGACGACATGTGCGGCACAAAGGAGGCTGGATGAGGCAAGGAGATGAAGTGGACCACTTGCAGTGTGATTCTCCAGCAAGCAGATTAGCATGCCATATCTGACAGTGGCATCACTGCCTTGACGGCGAAAATGACCTCAAAGATGTCGGGCCTCCACCTGCGGAATTGGAGACTCTGTGAAACATCTGTGAAGTCTGTGAGCCAGCCCAAGATGAACGGGTCGCTGATTTGCTCCTTACCTTTCTCCATTTTTGTGTATGTTGTTTTCCGTCTCCTGTTCCTTGGAATATGACGGTTAACGGTGAAAATGATGAAAAATGATGAGATGCCATGAAATTGATGGAAATAAGGCAAATGATGAATAATGGAGAAATGATGAACTGATGGAAAATGATGGATAAGGATAAGAATGATGAACATGATGAAAAGCCATGAACAGGATAAAACTTATGAAAAACGACGCACAAGATGGAAACTCATGGAACACAATTCAAGATGATGAAGCATGATGAAGAATTATGGAATACAAAACATATAAAAGATGATGAAACACAATGACAATGGTGGGAAGTATGAAAAGTGTTGGAAACTGATGAAGAATTGATTATGATGACAATAACTATGATGATGCTGAAAATTGAGAAAAATTATGAAAGAAGATGGAACATGATGAAAATTGATGAGAATTGGTGAAAATAATGGATATGATGACAAAGATGATAACTTGATAGAACATGACTAAAGAGATGACGAAACGATGAAAGATCAATGACGGTGATCAAGACTGACGACGAATGATGAACAAGTACAAGTGGTGAAAATGATGATGTCTGATGAAACATAATGCAAGCTATGGCAAAAGACGAAATTGATGCAACATGATGAAAGACCATGAAAATGATGAAAATATATGGAAAATATGGTGGGAAATACTGCATTCTGATGAAAGGCCAGGAGATGATGATCGGAGGGGTCCAAAAAGAATACGCAGGCCGGGCAGGATTGGCAGACAGGGCCGCATGGGCTGCGGCTTGCATGAGAAGGCCTTCGTACGCTGGAAGGCGTGTCATCAACCGTCCCGCTAGCTACCGGCTGCACCGTAAACACATCTCCTGCCACCCCACAACACAATCCCTGATGGTTGGCGTCTGGCTCAGAAAGACAGCCAAATTGGGCCAGTTATGGGTGTGGCACCTCAAACAGAAGCTCAAACGAAAGTATACGTAACTATAAAAACAAACATGCCATTTGCTGTACGCTGCAAATCGGTCTTGGCTCAGCACGAACACGGATGGGTGATACCCAACGCATTGGAATCGGAGACAGAGCTCGGCCTGCTCTGAGGATACAATCCCATGCAGTCCCCAAAGCATTCTTGCTCATCTGAGCCCAAAACGTTCAAGTTGGTATCCAGATGGAGGCAAGCCTCGAAGAGGTGACGCTCAAAGGAAGCGAGCGACTTCTAAATAGCCCAGCAGCCTCCACGAAAGGTGGAGACAGATCTTGCGCCATACTGCGGCGCCTCGACGCAAGTGTGCAAGACTCTGTCTGCACTTGAGAGTGACCGATAGACTACAACAACCCATAACAACCATGCCAGAATCTCGGGCTTCATCACAAAAGGCGTAGCTGGAACAGCAAACCTGATTGTACAAGATCATGTGCGCTGCATGCGTGCGGTCACGATAGATGACGAAAAAGGCAGCCAACTCGCGCGCCAAACATGGAAAGGATGCGGTAAACCAATGGAACTCCCGAGGCTCTATGCGAATATAATAGATTCGTCTATGGTTACGTTTGCTGGGTCCCCTAGCACGGGCGGCCGAGGCCCCGCATCCATAGTGGCCTCGGCTCCAACTGCCACATGTCGTTGAAACGATGATAATCCTTTGACACATGCGGATGAAAAATGAAATTCAGGCCGACACCATTTGTGCTGCGGACATGGCGTCAAGACATGGGCACACACTTCGAACCTACTATACCGACTACATGTATAGCGCAAGGCTTCCAGTACCACTGCCACAGAAAAATCGATTCCAACTGCTTGACTTCTCCGTATCCTGCAATCATCAGATGCCCACCTGCATTCAACAACAACAACAACAACAACAGCTACATCGGAGCATCTCATATTTGGAACTGTTTGCACTGACATCATGTTGGACAAGAATCACCTCGGCATACAAACCTCAAAAACATGATGTTTCTAACAAACTAATAATCTATCTGGGCCTGATGTGCGTAGCGGCAAACAGGTTCACATCCAGACAAGCTGACCTTCCATCAGCCTGCTTGAAGTTCCAGCAACAACGGGAAAGATGCAGATGTTGCTCCAAGTCCGCCGAAGCCAAAGACTCGCGTTCGGATCTGAGGACCCCATGCTAGGGTGAGTTCCACAACCCACCACCTCAAACTTTCAGCTAAGTTTCTGATCTAATTCGGGGTTTTGGTCTGGGTCTGGGTTGATGCCTGGTCAGCTCGCAAGTTTTCCGACGGCCCCCTCACCCCAAACCCCGAGCGCTGGCGCTGAAAGTACTTTCCAAGGTGAGAATATTGTTTCCAAATCGTAGGATCTGCCCATCCCCACAGCAACATCACCAGATTGGCGCTCATACCGAAGACAAAACGCATAATGCAAAATCATGGCACGGCTAGTGTTCAAGTAGACATCCACATCTCAGGATGCGCGCATGTTGACAGCACAACACGTATGCCTTCGATCCAGGACATGGTGTTGCAAAATGGCAGCAAGCGTAAAATCCTCTATCCCTAAACTACATGATCGTGTGTTCTTCTTCTTCTTTGTCGCGCTGCATCGTTTTAAAATCAGACGTAGCCAAATACTCTACAGAGTCGTACGGGCTTGGTACATTATAAGAATCCCTTAATTATGCCGAACAGTAAGCAAGAGCTTACTTCCTCTAGCTTCCCTCACCGGGCAGCAAAAGTCCCATGGCTTGACAAGCACAAGCTCGTTGAACCAACATTATCGTCTTGATCGCTCACTGTTTGAATATCATATTGCCCAAGCCTGATATCAGCCACACTCGGGCATGACCCAACGTATCCGCCGACCCTTGGGCGGCGCTCAGTAGGCGCTTTGACTACTTAATAACCTTGGGGGGTGGAGTGGACGAGGGCTGGAGGGTGGAGAGGTGGGAGGAGGTGGGAGGGTGTGGTTTTGAAGGTGACATGAAAGTAGTTCTTGACGATCTGGAACGGTGGAGTGTCTTCTATGAATTCAAACACTAATACCTAAAGTCTAAATCCTAAACCTTCGCCGGGGGGGAGGGGGGAGGGGGTCAGCGGCACCAGTGCCACCCGAATTACCGCCCTGGACAAAGACAGCAGGGACGGATGACACCGATGGAGGAGCATCAGGGACGCGAGCGCATGATGAGCAAGCTAACCATGCCCCGACCCCGGCAAAAAATGATGTCACAATTGAGGGCTTCAGGAGACGTGCACGCGAAGCCAGCAGCAATGTGAAGGCACAGAATACCAAGGCGCTCACCGGGCAGCTGGCGGACTGTCCTATGCTAACCTGCTCATGATCCAAGGAGGGGGTCCTGGACTTGATGCACAAAGAATGTATGACAATCCAATTGCCATGAGATCCAACCGTTGCATTCTGTAAGTAAGTTGTAGCTTGCATCACAGCATCATATATGATAGGCACTGCTTGTCTGTTTTCATTTATGTTTGTAAATGGCGTTACATGTAAGGTGGATATTGGCTCCTAGACGGAGATCTGTTGATTAGAAGCTGTTAATTCAATCAGCACGTACGAGCACGTCATCGTAGACCCCCCAGAATTCGGGAAACAATAATGCACGTGCCAATTTCAATTACCATTACCGCAGGCACAAAATAAATAAAAGCATGTCAGTGGACAATCTATCAGTCCATGAAATGTTGAACCGCAAGCCCCCTCTTCTGCCGCAGAGTGGCGGGAACGCTGCTGCTGAGGAAAAACATGGGTGAAACAAGTCAAATTTCCCAGCCAAGTTTGACCAGAATGTATTAGGTTCACTTTTATTAAATCCTTTCAAGGACATCATTTGCCACGACTTTCCGCGGTCTGCACCATCTCAGGCATGCTGACATCGCTACAGCCTTGGTGTTTGAGCTACAACTACGCTTGGCAGACGTCAGTCTGCATCTTCATGCTACTTCAGTACTCCAGGCTATGAAACAACTCACGAACTGGGGCCCGTGACACGTCATTTTGTGGACCTCCTGTGGGCACATAGCTCGTATGCGGACAGCATTCATTTCACTCCAACTAGATGTGCCGCTCGCAATGACGGCAACGGGCCTGGGGCAGCAGGATGCCCTTGCTGAGCTTCGCTAGCATCAGCAAGCGTGGGCTCTTCTGGAGAAGGATCCAAAGGCACAGGAACTTCCCCCATTACCTGGCCAACTTGCCATGCGCGGCAAGAAAACTACCAGCATTGCTATCCAGCAGTGAAACCACATGCCAAGAAACCTTTTCCTTCTTTTTGCTTGAAGAGCCTGGGCACCCAGAAGAAACACAGGTCGATCGCATTGTGCATCGTTGTCTAAATGGTAAACACAACAAAACGAAAGTCGACCTGGTTCGTAGGTGGAACTAAGGGCTATGCGGCAACCGGATCCCCAAGTTTCACAATACAAATCCGTCACTTTGTCCAGGAGCTGCTGCCAGACTTGTCGGACTTCCCAGCAATCCAGGAGTGCTCCAATGCAGATGCCGCCTTAGTGCTTCTATAACTTGAGAAAGTCAGCTCACCCCCTCAATGCCAAGATCTGGAGCACTGGTAAAAATAGGTGAAGCTGATGCAGACATGAAAAAGCTTAAGCAACATACACCAGCTGAGCCGTGCGACTGTTAGTCTGTCTTCTTGGCTCTTGCATATCAACCTTGCCAGGTACGGCTTCACAAGCAAAGCCTGCGCATGCCAGCACTTGAAATGGTATTGAGACTTTGGAGCGGCGGATCCCCATCGCACATGGGTAAAGTTTGAAGTCAAGTAGCTGCCTGAGAATGTTTCCTGAGCAATCCGTGGCCATGCTTTGCAAAGCACACCTAAATATACCAACTACACACCAACACCCCATTGCAGCTCGGGCTCGCAAGCGACTGGTCATGGAATCAAAGGGAGGCCGCTGAAGGTGCAAGCTACACCTTGGGGCGCAAAATCTCACAAAGACAGCGAGCTTTGCTCGCTAGCTGGACTGGTTTAGCTGAGCAGACAGCTTAACAGTTTTTCGCATTGTCGCAGCAGAGTCCCGATCTGGACTGCTGAAGGGCATCTCCCGGCTCAGCATGAAATAAAGTATGACACCTGAGAGGGGAAGTGCAGTGTGTCACTTCGGTACCATCCAAGTGGATGCTTGGTTGGGGCAGCTGCCAGCTCCAAAGTTGTCTACTTTGCAATCCTTGGCTTGCAAACCAATCCCGCATCAACGGCGTGAAAAGGTAATTTGGTACCCTGTCGAGACATAGATGTCAACAAGCACTTGAATGCTGGCGTTGTTTGCAACATTTTCGCTCATCTCTGAAGAAAAACATGCTACTGCATCCAAACCACGTATGGCGTACCCAAGCAGACCTGAACATGACAGCTCAGATTTTTGGATTTTCCTGCAACGGCAGCCAACGTTGGAAGTTGAAGCTTGCAATCTCGTGCATGCGGGACACTTCCGGTGCCACGAACCCTGCAGAACCGCATCGTCTGGACATCTGCTGCTCATCTGTGATTTTGCAAGCTAACCTGAAGCAGAGCATGCAGTGAGGTGCATGATAATCACTATGAATCCCAAATCCAACCACAAAACCCTACTCTTCCATGTACCTGGAATCCAAAACACCAAGCCTTCAGTGTCATCAAATGGTACTCGCATGGCTTTATGCCAACAGCACTAGTCCATGCACAGGGCAAGGCTGCAAGTAAAAGCTCAGCCTTAGCATTTGACGTTACACCACGGATGTTCTCTGGCTCAGCTGTCCAAAGGCATCTTCTACACACAAGTCAACTGGGTACTGACTTGTTGCAACCAGTTTTGAACACTTCGGCAGCATGTCAAAGCTATGTATGGACATGAGACTTTCAATTTGACTTTGGTACCCTTGCAGACCAGCAGATTCTTGGAGATTTTGACAGTTGAGCCTTCGCAGCTCAAGTTCAATATTGCACCCGCTTTTGCAGACAGGGTCGGAACAATATTTTTTCAGGCAAAGTATTCAGACACTGGTTTTGTTTGAGGGGTGTGGAATAATGAACAAAATGTTCGCGGCGCAAAATGTTAAAAAGACAAATCATACCTAACTTAGGCTTGTTGTCGCTAAGATTGATTGATTGATTGTTTGCGCCTATGGGTACAGCACAACAGAATCAGCGTTTCAGGTGCGCGCTGAGACCACTTCTTCTCTTTGACCAGGATACTCCAAAAGGCCCTGAACCTCACGCCTTATAACCTCTATCCTCGGCTATATAATCCTAGTTTCCATTTCATTTTCCATTTGCTTTTCTATTTGATTCTCCATTTTTAAGGGGGCTACTAGGAGTTTATTGAATTTCACGGTTTTATGACCAGAGCCTTGACCTATAAGGCCAGACATTGGAGAATCCGAAATCTGGTAACTCAAAAGACCAGCTCCATATCTTGGGATTATACAAATACGAGCCGTCAGCACAGCAGAGGCATGGATTGCATTAAGAGATTGTTTTGGTGAGTCGGAATAAAAATACATTTCAAAGCCCCCTAAATTTCACCAGGATAGGATAGCACTTAAGCTGAAAAAGAAGAACCTGGATTGATTCCAGCTCTTTTTGAGTTGGCTTTCATTGGATTTCAATTTGATTAGAATTGGATTTCAAATGGTTTTTACCAGATTGTCAATTGATACTAATTATCAATTGGATTTGAACTGCGTTTAATTAGATTCCAATTTGTTTTGATCAGATTTGCACTAGGTGTCAAACGGCTGGTTTTACTAAGAGCCAGTTAGATGTTCAGCGGTTATTTTAATAGATCTCATCTAGATGTCACTTGGGTTTAACTGCGTGTTGGATTGGTTTTAGATGAGGTTCTTTCTCAATTGATTGATTGAAATTAGATGCTAACTGATTTTACTTGGTCCTTTCGTTTAATTTGAGCTGGATTTCTAAGTCATCTTAATGAGGTTTCAATTGTTTCTAACTGGATTTCAACTGATTTAGAATAGAGTTTAATGGGCTTAATCCTCAACTGGTTCCAATTGTTTTGAACTTGACTTCAGCTGCTTTACTTTAATCTTTGCTGATTAGAAGTACATTTCCAGTTGATTTTGATTAGATTAGTTGAACTGTAAATAGATTGTGGTGGATTTGAAGTAGGTTTTACTTGATTTTGATTACACCTCAGTTGAATTTGATTTGCTTTGAATGGATTCCAAGTTGGTTTCATTAGGTTTTTAACGGAATTTACTATTCATGGTAGTGCAAGTACTAACATTAGTACGAAGACGAATGCCAGCTTCAAGGCTACTACTGAGATTCATGTGTTTATTGATTTTATTTGCCAGGAAAATTTCGGATTGAAGTGAAGAGTCAATCGTTGACGGGGGGTGCCCCCCTACCCTAGAGGGTCCAACATTAGAGGCTTGACCTTGTGCACGGCCCCCAATTTCCTCAAGCCTGGCTTGCCTTCACCCTTTGCTGTGCGTAGGGGTGAGCTGTGAATGAGCCTAACATGGCCTAGGTCCTCACCCGAAGCTCCACACAGGCAATTGGCAACGTTTGTAAGTTTGTGATCCCTGGCCGAGGTATCGTCCCTCATCAGGGCGTATTTGCTCCGTTTGTTTGCGCCTTCTGGCCGCTGCATGGCTTCCGAATGAGAACTAAGGCAAGGAACCCGAAGTCAGCCAGCATGGGAACGCCACCAGATTGCAGTAAAATGTTCTCAGTCTTGACGTCTCTGTGAACCTCACACATGAGATGTTTTGACATGAGGTGGACAGAAGTTTCGCCGTCAGCCCGGAGGCCCTGAGGCAGTGACAATGTCATGATCATGTATGTGTTTCAAACCGCGAAGGATGCCTGCGCACAGCAGCTTTACGAAGCATCAAAAGATGTCATCCGCAGTCTCAACTCTGCTGCAACTCGCTGCAAGCCCAGGTGCCTATGAACAAAGGTCTGGCAGCTGCCTCAGTCATCCCACCCGACTTGAGCACCTGAATTCGCAGAGCCCAGGAGATCTTACACATGTGCACATGTTTGCAAGGCCGCATGCTGACCTTGCAGTATTACCCCCAAAGCCTTGCCTTATACAGCAGATCACCGCCAGGTGCCAAGTCAAAAATGTTGTAGAATCGGATTTGTTCCTCCGCATGCATCCCCTTGCATCAGAGATTCTCGGGGGGCCTACGCTGAACAACAAAATTTAAGACTGATCCATCTGTCCGTCTCTGTTTTCCAAAACACCCCTCGGAAGCCAATGATGTTATCACCCTGCAGCTGGACGAGCGCAGCAACCTGGCAAGTGGTTCAGAACCCTTGGAGTGTCGCCTCTCGAATGATATGATGCAAACGCGGACTGCACTGTGCGATCTTGGCATGCAGCAGACGACAGGGACTTCAGACTGCGCGTCTTTGCTCAGAGCAGTATGGAGCCGTGAGGTCGGCTTGCCTCGCGCTCTATCGACTCCAGATCTGAAGTGTGGTTCATCTGCTTCACCTGCATTCAGCTGTCTTGCATGTAAACAGCAGCAGCCAAGTCGCTTCAAAGCTTGCATACTTTACCAGTGCGGTCCAGATACTGCGACCTCGCGGCCTGAAGGAGCCTCCAAAGCTTCAGCACAGCTTCTTAGCACAGCCCCTTGCTATGGTGTTGTTGGCCTGGATTTGAACATGCCTCCTTGTAAGTACCAGCTTGGGGTGTGCAACTGTTCGTTTTGCAGCTCACTGCATCGATCTTTTAGCCTTAGCCGCAAATATAGTCATGACTCGCATCCATCAGATTCCTGCGGTATGACTTTGCACCGGTGGGGCAATTTGTATTGTACGCTCCAAGCGTGTTACAAAATCTGCGCTGAGCGCAATTGTTGCTTTATCGGCTCCTGCCTTGCCGTGGTTTCCAACGTACAGATTCCGGAGAATTCAGGATCGAGCAGTTCTTTGCCAAATGTTGGCATTTCGGGTCGCGGAATTGTATGTTTCTGGTCCTACATCCTAAGTTGTGGCCGACATGTCCTTTAGGCCCTGGCTAGAACTATTGCAGTTACGCGGAGGAAGCTGTGGACTCAAGTGTCCAGAACAACAATAGGCACCACTACAGTACGTTTGAAATTGACTGATTTCTGACTGTATGTCTCGGTGCACAGCTTCAACAGATCCAGCGAGCATCATTCTGAGAGACCGGGTGCGCATGTTGCCGATGAAGCCTCCTTGACATTTGCCGATGAACACCTCGATTTCTAGACCCGCGATGCCTTCTATGCACGAAATTGAGGTGCTCAGGCCCAGAATGTTGAGGCTACCTGGCTTGGAGGGCGTTTTCAGGTGTATGCCTTGCCAACCAACAAGCCCTTCGTTGTGTTTTATGTGATGTCGTGATTTGCACTGAGCACTGGGTTCACAGTGTCGGAATGCAAATCGCTGCTACACATGCAAGTCACACTCAGCTTCCCAACCTTCATGTGGTACACCGTAGCATACCTTGGTAAAGCCACCAGCACGTTTCTGGATGTAAGCTCCCTAGCACCAAAGCAAAATAACTCCGGGCAAGTCACGCTCCTTCCCCTATAACACAATCACCGTCATGTGCCATTGAAAAAGACTTGTCGAAGTCTGTCCGAAGACAGCCTCGTACACCTCAGCCATGCAGTTGAGCACACATGCGATAGAAGTCCCTGAAAAGAATGATGAGGCTGCGGCTGAGCATATCAACGAAATCATGAGCAGCACAGCCCTGTACAATTATGAACCAACCTGGCCGCCAGCAACGGGATCTTGTACTGCATAAGTCGAGCACAGATGTGAACTTGTGAAACTGATTTCTGTGGTATGCAGGATGAACCTAGGACTTTTCTTGTTTGTTGCTTTGTTCATTTCTTCCTTCCTGACCGCGGCAGTTGGGTGAGGACGCTCCACGCAGGGCTCCAATTTCTCCTCAAAATGGGAGGATGGTCCATGCGTCGGAGCTCAAATGTTGAATCAAAATGTGAGGACGCTCCACGCGACAGCTCGCTTTTTCAAAAAAGCCAGGACACTCCACATGAGGGCTCGATTTTCTTTTGATAACCTTAGGATACTCCACTTGGCGCGGGCCTCGACTAAAGAAGCTGAGGGAAGCTCCACGCGAAAGCTTGAGTCAAAATTCAAGGACCCGCCAGGGCGCGCCAGGACGCTCCAAGCGAAGGTTCGATTTTGAATGTGAGGACACACCACGCAACAGCTTGATTTCATAGTCAAGATGCTGCAAATTACAACATCTGCAATCTTTGCACAGCTCCAGACGCGGTAAATTCCGTTAGCCGCAGTCTGTGCAAAGTTCCAGATGTTTTGAACTACTGTGAACCCCAGATGCTAAAGATCTGCAATCTTTTGAAAGACCGGGCAGGGTTTGTGGGAAAGGTCGGCACCCCCACCTTTTTGTGCACCTCTCTCAAACATTGCTTTCTTTCGTTTGAGTGAGCATTTAATTGAGAAAGGTTGGAAGCATATAGATTAATCATGATTAATCCCTCCGCGAACCTCTCGGAGCGAGAGAGAGATAGGCCTAAGTGTTTTTATGAGATTGATAAGGGAGTTGATAGTTATAAAGAGGTTTATAGGGGCTTGAAGTGGGGACTTGCATTTGTAAAGCAAGAAAGGCGTTTCGCCCAGCGGGGCCTGACATAGCATCCTGCTGGGAAAACATGCATCGCACGTGGCTGAATTACAAATCTTCTCGCCAAGCTACTCAGACTAGCAGTAACAATGGCAAGACTAGTCATCATAATCGCAATAAACAAAATGGTAACACTGCTGATGATCATGGTGGTATTTAGAATAGTAATTCTGATGAGAGGACGAAGGGGTGCGGAAGGGGCGTGGCCAGAGGACCAGGACTCTAGGCGACCAGAGGGCCACATGACCAGATGACCATAGGACTTGAGGACCAGGGGACAAGAGGACCGCAGAACTAGAGAACCAGGGGACCAAAAGAAAATTATTCACTTCGAGCATCCCCACCCTAAAACCGTCATTGCGCGAGAAATGCTATGCTGTCTTCCTCACTGCAAGAATATCGCGGTTTGACACTGCAGGGGCAAATGCTGTGGGGTTCGGCATNNACGACAAGGACACTTTGCCATTGAGCACTCTGCAGAGATACTGTGGGTTTGGACACTTCAGGGATACGTTGCCATGGGCACTGCAGGGATACCGTGGGGTTGAGCACTGCAAGGATACTTTGCGGTTGCTGTTGGTCACTGCATTTATACTGTGGTGTTCTTAGGCAATGCAGAGATACTCTGCGGTTGGGCACTGCAGGGATACTCGGTGCTTCAGCACAGCAGGGATACTCTGCGGTTGCGCACTGCAGGGATACGTTGCCATAGAGCACTGCAGGGATACTTGGTGGTTGGGCACTGCAGGGATACTTGGTGGTTGAGCATTGCAGGGATACTCAGCGGTTGGGCATTGCAGGGATACTCAACACTCCAGGGATACTTGGTGGTTGGGCACTGCAGGGATACTCTGCGGTTGGGCACTGCAAGGATATGTTGCCATTGGGCACTGCAGCTAGGCTCCGCACGGAGGGCGAGGACAACATAGACTTTTAAGATCTAGCAAGCTTGTGAGGGTGGGGGACAAGAACAATAGTAGTCTCAAGACGCTTGAGCCCGTCAAACATCCTACCAACAAATCCTCCCCTCGCGTTCACATGCGTTCACTGAACGAATCACGCAAGCAGTTCCTGGACCGTAGAGGCAGCCTGTTCAACTACGCCAGCAATGCAAGTTTATAGTAAAACAAACAAGCCACCGCGCTCTTGGAGATGAGAGGAATTTCGCACAGGTGCTTGCCTGCTGTGGCTTGCGCCAGCCCGGCAATTGAAGTACCTCTGATGCCGCAGCCAGGCCTCAACAGATTCGCACTGTGGTGATGCAACACCATCTCACTCTACGCAGCTGGCCAAAGCTGACCAATCACAGTCTAATGACACGAACCAACCACAGGTTGCACGTGCTTACATTTGAAAGCAAGACAAGCAAGCAGGTTTGCAAAGTTGACCCTGCAACCAGGTAACGTTGGCGGCACCAGTGCTATCAAGGCCATGTCTGGATCCGACGCCTTGGTCAGCGCTGAGTTTTTGGATGTTTTTGGTATATACGTCGACGGAAGTGTACTACCTTACCTTCGCCAAAGCACAGTTCGGAACGAACACCAGCTCACTTCGACCATTAGGAGTGAAGGAACCTTCAGCTCACGACAGCACGGTGGACGCGCTTGCGAAGGCTGCAGATGCAAGCAGAAAAGACCAGTTGCGCACTCCAGTTATGTCTGAGGCTTGCTCTACGGTTGCTGATTCTTCACCTGCGTCTTCTGCCTGAGAGGCAGCATTCATCTTTACTCCTTTGGAGGATGAGGCTCAGCTACACGGAGCGTTTCACATGTTACAGGTTCTGAGTGCTGCGCGACTAAGGCTAGACCTTCGACGTTACACCGCAGCCCCAGCGCATCCTTACAATTGGCTGCATGAATACGCGGTCAACCACGCACTGGTCCGCAAGCACGGCTTGAAAAGCAAAGTTAAGTGATACAATGTGTGTTAACGATATGGCACAGCGCGTGAAAGCCTAAAGGTATGAAGTGTAGTTGTCTTTTACAATTCAAAAAGCCACTCCAAGTGGCAATGCGTGAGACAAGAATCCGGAGCTTCTGCTTCAGCTGCGAAGGCCTCCGCCACAGTAGCAGAGCCAGATCCTGGGCACACGGCACACTTGTTAATGGGCAGCCCGGTCGAGGCGGTGCGAGTTGAGCCTCCGCTTTAGTATTGACAGCTTTTAATGCCTTGCACGGCTTTTACTGCTTTGCCGCAGACAGAATTCAGATAGCTCCAAACCATCCTGAGATCTTATCCCCGACTTCTGCTTCCTAGCCCACCCCAGCAAGACGGCTGCCGTCACCGTTCAAAGCCTTCCCAGCTTCCGGAGCCTTCCAACACTTCCGTGCGCTTCCTCGTGGGCTTGTCAGTGCCAGCAACACTGCGAGGATCTACAAGCAGTGGATTCCCCCGTATACTTATCGGCCAAATCCGCCGACCTTAAAACGCTGTGGGGGGAAAGGTGGGGGTGTAGCATGTGTACCCCTGCTGGGTTTTTTCTGGAGCCCCTGAGTTCCCCTCCAGCGTCCTGAGAACAATGACAGCTTCACTTGTGCCTGTTGGGGCCCCAAAGCCTGGCCTCAAACCCCGTAGATCAGGTGAGGTCCTGGAAACGTTTACCTGCAGTGTTGCAGCACGTTAACAGCAAACATGGCAAGCACCAAACCCCCAGGCGTTTAGGGTCCTACGGAATCCTGGCAGCCTGGTATGAACTTCTCTGGTTTGCACCGGTCGTGCGCGACAACGTTTTGAACATAGCGCAACGTTGCTAATTTTGCTGTAATATCGTCTGAGCTGGCGTGAAACTGCTTCCTGATCTCCCAGTGATCTGGGCAGCCCTGAGGATGCTGGACCCAAAGCCAATGAGCGCCCGCAGCAACTGCAGTGACAGCTGTAACTGGCTAGCGGCAAGGCCCGCATCTCCAGCTCTGCCCTTGTATGTACACGCATAACACGTGATTGAAAGCTGCGACGATTGTAAGGATGGCTGAAGCCCACCGAACGGCAAATGCAGCAACAGGCAGGAATGACGTCGCTTCGAACTTGTGTGTTACTCACCGGAATTCATGCGAAAAGACTGTTCTGCAGAAACTCCTAAGCAACTTCCAGTCAGATGAGCGTTTGTCGAAACTCCTTGTATAATCCGATGCGATGGACATTTTTTTTGGCGGAGAGGGGGGGTAGCATACAAGAAAGGAATTGCTGTTGGAGGGGGTTCGGCCAAAACACAATCGTTCTTACATCTTAGAGGGATATCGCTGTTGGAGGAGTCCTATCGCTTTTGGGGCTTGTTGCGCGATTCCTACGTCTCACGGAATTCCTTGTCTTCGTGCCTTATACGCGAAAATTGAGCATTGCTCATAGTATGTACGCATTGTGAGATGAGAGTCTCTTCTCGCGAAGTGCCTCAGTGAAAAATTTGAAGCCTTCAAGGATTTCCAGGTTCTTCTCCTGACATAGATCAGATACCCGCTTGTAGCGCAAAGAAAGGGGGCCTCGCGAGCTGGCAGTTTGGGGAATACAAGGGCACCCAGTGAATCTCGAAGTCCGACGGGCTCCTTGAGAAAGAAACAGGTGAAGTTCCCAGGCCTTGCGCAGCCATACCCCCTCCCGTCTCATCCTTTCCGATGGTTTCAAGCGAATCCTGCGCCATTTTTCCCATGCTGGGATCTGGCCTGCTTTAGCACCCCTCTTGGCTCGAGCCCTGGACTCCAGACCAACCCGCCCACAGAGGCTGCAGCTGTCATCAGACTGCTTATCCCAAACACTGTTGCTTACATCAGCCAGTACAGTAGAAAGTGCAAGCCAGGCAAACAAAACGGAGAATGAAAACACAGAAAGTTCTCGTTGCAGCATGGCTCTGTTGACAATTACCGGCGCAAGCTGTCGGGCGTCTTGGCCGTGGCAGCTGTGAAACCAAAAAGTTGGACCAGGCGCGGATGATGATGAAGACGGAAACATGCCTCAGGAAGTAACTGGTCTAACTTTCAGCAGGCTCTACGCCGAAAAAACACAGCAAGGAGAACGTGCTCCAAGTGGCTTCCGTCCTTGCCTTCCATGTACATACGCATTTACATCCGGCACCTTTGCAAGAAGCATCCTGCATGGAGGTGGAGTTGTAGCCCACTCTCTGGGCGGACAATGGAGGACTTGACTTGATGTGATGAGTTGCATCTGAGGAACTTCCATGCAGCATCCTCTATGCTACGTCTAATCTAAGCTTGTACCAGAAGGTCCGCGTGCCCATAAACTTTGCGGGCGACATGCATAATACATGCACGCCAAACAACTTGGCTCAAAGGGCATCTACTGCAACTGCTACAGCAGGTACTTACTTGATGACTGAAATGACAGGCTTCGCATCCTCAATGGCCAACGACAACACGACGATAAAAACTCCGACGCAGCAAGAGCTCTTGCCTGGAATGGTCTTGGGTTGTACAAGTCAGGAGGCATGTCAGTCCAGTTGAGCTAAGACTTTCAGATTCAAGCCTCACATTGGAAGCTTTGGGAGACTAGTCCTCCCCGAAATCTGAGAGATGGCCACCATTAGTGCTGTGGTGAAATAATGTTTGAGCTCGCGCTCAGGAGTTGAAGAAGGGATTGTTCACGATCGGATTCCCACACCTCTTTGCAATGCCTCACATTCAGCGCCCAGGTCTGATTGACTAGGTCCCTAGGTGGATCTAGCAACGTGCCACGTGGACTGGATGAGTGCCAAGCCATTGATCATGTCCCGAACCCTGAGCTGCTCAGGCTTCGGGAAAATTCTGGTTGGCTCATGCGGCTTTGGAAAGGCACTTCAATCCAGCAAAGCTTCTGGTACAACCTCCAATCTGTCTTTTGGTCATGGATCACCCATTTGGGCACCTGAGGCATTGAGAACTCGAGAAAATGCGCGTCGGCAATGGTGATGATAAGGCCCCAGCACAGGTGCGACTGAGAAGCCGCAAGGCCGAAAACTGCACGTTACCTTGCGGAGATTCTGTCAAACATTTCCCCTCTCTGGCGGCAGCCCAATTGCGCCGAAGGCGCAGGATTTCAGCATCTGCTCATGGCCTGGGCTGCCACAGGAGCTGTGACACCTCGCGGCATCAGTCAACGCTAGCGCATGTAAGCTTCACATGATACATTTTCAGAAACTGTGCACGCTGAGCACACTGAGCTGCTTACGGATCCGTGATGGGCGCGTAGAACTGCCCGGTAAGGCCTCAAGCTTGGATGATCTCACGGTCTGTAAGTACAGCACTGCCATGAAAAGCTCTCTTGGTGCATGGCAGGCATGGATCCCAAGGCATGTGCCGTGGACAGGGTCCTTGCAGGCGCCGGTTTCGAAAAGAATCTGGAATGCTACGGCAGCACATGCAGCGCCGTGGGCACAAGCCTCGGCAAGCCCGGTCCGGTCTACCTAGTTTTCACTTATATGGCTGTCCTTCGTCAGCTGGCGGCACTGTGCATCGAGGCCATATATGGAGTCGAAGCATTTGCCCTACAAGCAAGACACGAATGAGGACCGCCATGTTGGCTATCATGGCAGCGCGCGTTCCTGCCTGAGCATCTGGTGCAGCTTTCCTGATGGGTGTCGTGAGCTGCAAGCTTCTGAAGAGTCAGGTGTGCAAGTTCATGTCTCCAAGTGTCTTTACGCAGTCAAACAATGTCTGGTTGAAAACCTCACAGGAAGTTGCGGGCATCTGAGAAGCACCAGCACCGATCAGCCCTCCATGAAAACTAGGCCGGCACCGTGTCGTAGTTGGCATCACCAGAGTTCAACGCTACGCCACCTAGGCAGAAGGATGCTGACTTCGGGCATCGCTATGATGAAAAACACTCAGTGTATTCCTGGGGCCACGGAAGGCGGAGCCATCAGTCATGGAGATGGCATCGCGAGCATGGTGGCTTGTCCTGCAGCTACTGGAGTGCACTTGCTGCCTTTGCTCAGCTGTCGCGGTAGCAGTGAGCAGGTACCTGCTGGCTTTCCATCGGTGCTGCAGAGCAATTACCGCTGCCATGGCAAGCAGACCTGCAAAACAATTCCCCGTAACTCCAGATGGGCTGCTTATCAAGAACCCGCTCCCTTTGCAATCTGTGGAGTATCAATCAAATCTATAGCTCCTAGTTTGCAGTCAGTCTCTTCTTGATATCACCAAGAGGTCGAGCCTAGGGTAACTCGGCCAGTCCAGGCACGGAGCAATGTCGGCCATTCCTAGCAACAGGCGCTCTGAGATCGTGAGGTGAGAGGAAGCACAGACCCCCTGCAGAGCCTTTGGAGCAGATGGCACAGCTATTGAATCGCTGAGGATCTCGAGATCTTCATCTTGCTGAGCCTGCCAGCGCTTTCTGAAACATCTCCACGCCCCCCAGAGCCTCAGGGCTAAACCCCGCGCCTCCAGCACACGCAGTAAGCGGGTCTCAGGCTCTCCTGGCTTTAACTCTTCGGCTTCAAAACAGATTTCAAGGAGATAGGTCCTTGCGTGCAGCTCCGCCTGGCAGGGGCACGCAGAACGGGCAAAGAGTTGTCTATCCCTGCCGGTGCATCTGAGGACAGGGCGACAGGTTTACACTCTGCATGCTCAAGCACAATCACAGGCCCAGCGCTGAGCCAAGCTGGCAAGACGACACACCAGCAGTGTGGCAGCTCAGGCAAGCTTGCATGCCGGTTGAGGCGCAATCATCGGCCCTCATTGCTTTGCATGTACCGTGTACCGATTTTCATGCATATGGCAACCAAATGATGATGCACACTCACACTCCATGCACGGCAATGCAGAGAGGGCATCCATTGAGGAGTTGCCGGTCTGCACTAGACGATTAATAACTGCTCACCGTGTGTTACCGCCAGCTGAAAGCTTCAAAGTTGCACAGGAAACAAATAATAATGTGTGGGGATGTTGACTTCATATCATGCCAACTTGGCAGGTGAGACGCAAACATGAGGTCGATCCTCCGCTGCGGAACTACGAGAAGTGTGCATCAGCAGATCACTAGCTAGATTGGCTTCGGGATTTCTCGAGTTGGAACTTTCTCTGCATATAGTCTGGGTTACCATGAGCTGCTGAGACTGTTCCTACCTTTTCAGTGTCCAAACATCTGACACTCCCACACTCAGCATCGCGATCAGAACGATCAGCAGAAGCCTTGCCACTCTTGCGCAAGGCAACAGCTCGGCACTGGCATATCAGCATTTCGCATGTCCACTCTGGCCCCTGCGAGCATTTCGCCCCGTGATCAGCCGCGTTGGTCCGGGCCTGGGCCTTGCAGATACTGCAGGCTCTTGTTGCTTTGGCAATACACATGCAACCATGAAGAGGGTAGGGAAAACAGCCCAGGTCGAGACGATGTTAATCTCAATAGGCGAGATCTGCCCCTCGTAGTAGCCTGGCGCAACACCCAGATGCTATGTGACACTAGGCACATCTCAGCGCGAAGGAGCCTGTTTCCACATGGACAAACTCCACCGTGATGTCTTTCATAGCGAAGATAGACCAGGTGTTGTCGTGCGGGTAGACAGCTGAGAAGGGATGACTGCATTTGGTGGATCAGCTGTGCTCAGGCTCACTCAAGGCAGTCTACGTTGAGGCTTGAGGCGCGGACTCGGATTGCTCACCTCAAACCGAATGTTGTAGGTGCCGACTTCCTTTCAAAGAGAAGCTTCTTTTTCAGCTTATTCCTTTGAATCTGCCAAGTAGGCATCAGACCACAAGAGCCATCTCATCAAGGTAGAGGGACCTTGACATGTGCATTAATCACATTGTCAGAATGCAAATTCATTCGGAGCGACAGCTCTTTCAACCTTTGGTATGCCACCAGGTTGCAACAAATCACCTGCAACTTGCGTGGGAATGGCCAACCGCAGAGGAAGCGGTTTCGGTAGCACGGTCACCTGTATGAAGAGCAGCAAAGCAGCTCAGGGAGCAGAGCGTTGAGCAATGGATGTGTTGGCAGCATCAAATGCCAGCAGGAGTTGATTCCACCCATAGGAAGATGGTTTGGTCGGAGGCACAAGCGCTCGTTTCTTCCGCCAAATCTACGGAATCTACGGTCCATGCGGTCTAGGTGTACTAGGCTGCCACATAGAGGACTTGTCACAGAGGAAACCGTAGCAGGTTCCAAGCCATGTCTGCGAAAACGGCACCCGAATCACTCACAAGGGCGTCCCTGCTTATGGCACCGCATGGAGTATTCTGCAATCGTTTCTGCAAAAATAGCACAGCTGCAGGATGCCTTTGCTGGATCTTCGTTGAACATGATGCCTTCGGGCCTCATCACATGCAAACATGTTCAAGCCTATGCAAAGGAACCGCGGCCTGTCTCGGTTCTAAGGTTGCTGCGCTCTGACTGTAAACCGCTGCAGAGTTCCTGCAGGGATCTCGTGCAGCACCCGTATCTGGATCAGCACCTAAGGCCAAGCAAAGTCGGCTCCCATGCCAGCACCTGACTCCATGCCTCTCTGGGCAAGCGACATATGCTAGGACACGCGGATCTGCATTTGTCCAACCTCATCACAGGCTCAGTGCACTGGATCATCTTTTTGGGAGATCTGATCTCGGTCCCTGACCGATTCCATTGCATCGGATTGGGATCGACTTGAGATCGAGCCCCGGAATTCGGAGGTTTGCATCGAAGGTGTCCCTGTTGTGGTCCTTTAATGTGACAGCACATTCAGCAAATTTCATGGCTCGGGATGCACACGGCCCTTCGTCCTGCAGTGAAATGCCCCAGTAATTTGTTGCCCTTGGTGCCGGGCGTTTTGTCACCAGTTCTGAAGGATGCCAAGCAGGGGCTGCTGCTCTGGCGGACGGCCACCAGGGTTCAGGACCCTCACGCCGACTGTGTAGGCCTGGTACGATTCCTAATTTTGCCACTGATACTCAGCAGTCTGTCACTTGGCCTTTCCAGCTTCCAGACTGGCATTCGAGAAGCGAAGAGTCAAGGGGTCATTGACCGCTCCAGACCTCATCTGCTCTGTGCTTTGGCTCCCTGTGCTGAAGCCGTATTCCAATTACCGAATGCTTGGATTCATTTTCAAATGTGGCTTCGGCTGTGGCTTTGGCAGTCTGACGCAGCCGCTACACGCTCTCCATTTTGTGTGCATCCCGCCGCAATTAGGATCACAGGTGAGACTAGATTGCTTGGCGATCGCAAGCACAATCCAACGAAGTCAGATGTGCACCTGCTAGGCAAGAACGATCACACCGACACCCCAATGCACCAAATGTTCATTGCAACAGCCGCTTTGCGACATTGGCCTGGAGTGCCCAGGCTGACAAGAAGACCATCCCTGCTCCTGCCCGAAGCTGGGAATTGGCAGTAAGCCTCAATCTGGTGCACTATTATGTGGCCTTTGCACGCTTGTGCAGAGCCTTTGTCTTGCGGGGAATCCTTCTCTGACGACTCACCTCCAACAATCACGCAGCCATGGTGTCAAGCTCTCTGCTGCTGTACAAGAACTTGCCTGCATCCTGGTTGTTCCCATCCTGGTTGTTCCCATCTGCTGAGGTCTGGCTTTCCTGGTAGCGGCCAGGATGGTTTTCTCTCCAGCTGAGAGCACTAAAAGCGCCTCTTCACCTCCGGTCGATGGATTGGCAACAGCACCCTTTGCTTCGTTCTGGCAGACACGAAGCTCTTTGCTCCACGACCAACCAGCATTGCAGCAGCACCTCGGTCTAAATTCGGACACACGCTAGCGTGGCAAATTTTCAAATCACCACGCAAACGCTCAGAAGTATCCTGAGCATTGACTTTTGATGCAAGAGTTCTTTTTGCACATAGGATGGATGCTGAGCAGGTTCCCTCCTTGCAAGAGTTCGCTTTTACTAGCTTTCGCCACGCATGTACAGCTTGCTCCGAGATGACTTAAGACCTGATGACAGCAGGCAACAAGCAACAACCCTGCCGACGGATGATGTTGGTGTCAAGTGGCCCAGGTCCACCTCAGATCAGCTCTGGGATTGCAACATGTTCACTCTGCTCAATGGTGTAGAAGGTCCGGACACGGATGGCTTCTCATGGCATTGCAGATGCCCTGCTTGACCCGTTTCTCCCAAAGCTGCGAAGCAGGGATCCTTGGGATGCGGAAGCTGTGTAGAACGCGCGGCCCGCAAGGTTGCCGCACATGCTTGAGGCAGTGTGTACATCTGAAACCAAGATGCATGTTGAGCTGAACAACCGGCGCCTCAGCAGAACGATGCAGCTACCCATGTGCACGCTCCGTCATGTTTGCTCGAGTCAGGCAAATTCCGCTGAGCGGCATCATTCCTGCAATTGCTGCATTTATCGATCGACTCGACAAAACGGCAGCCAAACCTGACAATCACAAGCTTGCAAAGTCTATCGTGAGAGTGGCGTGCTCTGCCTCACACTGCCACTCAGCTCCTATCCAATTCATCACGAATGTGGATTACCATCCCTACCTACTGACCCAGTTGCGACCTTCAGGCATGCGACTTTCAAAGAACAAAAACCATATCGCTTCAGTCGACATTTTCAACCTGCAACCGAGGGGCCCGCCTTACTCTTGATAGGACGTACCGCATCAGCCCTCCCTTTCTGTGCACTAGGGTACTCTGGTAAACCTGCGGAGACCTGCAGCAGCAATGAATCTGGTCTGGACCGCAAGGATATGCCTGCCAAGCAAACAGGAACCCATGCACTTCTGAAACGCACAAGGTTACCCGACGATGACACAAAGGCAACACATACTCACGGAGATCCACACCTCCCTGAGCTCACACGTATTCAAGCTCTTCACTTTCTTCCAAGTCTGGGATCCAGGGATGATTGCATCCTCCTGCCAATTGCGGACTTCGCCAACTGCAAGTGGCACGCAAAGCTGACTTTTAACTCACACACATGAACGAAGCAAAGGCAGGCTAGATAAAGGCCTCTCTGGGCGGCGCAGCATCCGAAATAGCCTCATCATCTGGATCCGGGCCCTGCGTGCATCAAATCGCGCAATCTGCACGTGTCCTAGCTAGGTCTGGAGAGACCTTGTTGCAACTTCCACAGTCATTCTTTACTTAGTAAATCTGACCTGCCTTGGATGAAGGAGGCTCCTGCAGCACTGTGAAAATGCTTGCTGCACAGCCATCGGCATGCGCTTCTGAAAACACAAAAGGCGCCTCGCAGGTGGCTTTTTCCACGTTCCACTCAAGATATCCATCACAACAACACCTGTTCGGAGATGTTCGGAAATATCACTTGCCAAGCTCTGCCGGTAGCTAATCAGCAAGGTAAGGCCCAGGCCCTGTGCCGCACTTGTGGGTCCGTCCTTAGTGCCACAACATCGTGCAGCTGTCTCGCAGTCATTACGGGCCCATTGCAGGCCAGCATCTTTGATGCTTGCAAGGACCGAACCTGACACGCAAAGCAAGGAGGGCAAGAGCGCTGAAGTCCACCAAGCGAGAAAAAGAAGCCTTGAGACATCTGTGGAGCCCTCGATTTGCTTTGCCACCACGGCCGGGTCCTTGTCTCCTGCACACAACGAAAGAAAATATCCTGGACTCCCAGAAAGGCTCTGGAAGGCCCTGGCAGTCCTGCTCTTGAGCGGACACACTTGCTCAACTGTTTGTTAAGAGTTGAACCGATGTCGCAGCAACAATGGTCCCTGGACGTCAGGCTTGAATGTAGCCGTTTGCGAGCTGATAGTCAAGCATGTTTCATGGTGACGTTAAAGACTTATTGCACGCCCCAGAAGCATCCGCGGGCCACACTGATGTGCCTTGGCACACATGCTGCTCGCAGATGAAACAATACAAACAAAGCAAAAGCACTAGTGAGTCCAGAGCATTCTTCTTCAGGCAATCGGGCCACCTGTGAAGCAGCAGCAAAGTGGCGAATTTGCATTGAAGCTGTTCACAACGGACTCCATCGAAAAGCTTCAACTTGTTCACAGCCAAACACATTCCTGCTCGCAGCAACTCACTGCTGCAGTTCGGCACTTGTCCAGTAAGGCATAATGCGCCGTGAACAGCAGTTAAAAAAAAACATCTAGCTAGTGCAGGTTCCAGCATCAGCAGCATCACACCACCGCCACCCACCACCGCACACCACTGGCCAAGGTCTTATCTAGTCAATAGGAGTTCCTGTTAGGGCAGGGGCGTCCTTCGAGGTGTAAACACCCACGAGCTCACGCGTATAAGATCAAACATTCCAAATCCTGCAAGCCATTAAGCCCCCCTCCTCCCCACGTGCATCACATCTTCCAATGTAAGCCCCTCAGCAAAACACAGCGTGCAGATGAGGACGCTTCAGGGCTCACTGTGGCCAATCCATGGAAGAATAAGAGGGGGCGTTGCAACCACGACAAGAAAAAACATACTGACCATGACAAGACATGTACTCACCACACCAAGTATTGCACCACAGTATCACAACAACACACCACTGCTCCCCGCACAGAAGCCCCGATCGCTTGGGAGTAGGCATTTGGGGACTTTCAAGCGCCTACACAGCCTCGCTTCAAAATGTGTACTCCCAGCTGCTCCCCCCGCTTCAGATCCCAGATCGCTTGATAGGACGCATTTTGGGACTTTCAAGGGCCAAAACTCCCAAAATGTGTACTCCCAGCCGTTTCCCCCATCAAAGCCCAAAATGTGTACTTTCAGCTGCTCCCCCCTTCAAAGCCCAGATCCCTTGGGAGTACGCATTTTAGCAACTTGCAACTCCCCCTCGTTTCCAGTGCTCCGCCTGTAGTCCGTGTGGCAAAAACAATGAAATTCCTGCTGTTTTAGCTGCGGTATGAACATGCCAACAAGCCCTTGCATACAGTACAACTCTGCACAAGGTTCCGGCAGAAGACCAAAAACAACCAATACCCGTAGCCGTTTCAGACAATGCTGCTTTTCTGCCGTGCTCCGCAAGATCAGGTTCAGTTGAGGCCCTCCAGTAGCAAGCTTCAACACTACGATGATGAACCCAGCACTCAACAGTGACTGCAGCATGCAGTTCTGGCGCATGCGATGGACAACATCAACAAGGAAGATGTTGTTCCCAGCGATCCCTCCAACATTCCATGCAAGGAACTCTGACACCTCGCTCTGTTCTCGGGGAATCGGGCCATCCCCATTCCAAATGGCCTTCGTTGCGCCCTTGCCGAGACGGCAGTTGCTTAGATCGAGGGTCTGCCGGCATCAAGACCGACCCACGCCAAAAACCAAGAGACAGAACAGAACTCGGGAAACTATTAGAAAAGAGGCTACACGCGTCACAAGAGCTGCGACCTTCAATGCCGTGACTTTTGGCTATCCGGCCTAGATGCTGGTTTCGGGCGCCTGCCCACCCGCACCCGAAATCCATCCCCTTGTCAAAGACAAGGCCACACCCTCAACAGTGAGCTCACAAGCAATACGTTTTTCACTGGAAGCTGCCGACCACACAGCACTGCATTTAGACCACATGCTTCAATGTCGATGCTTGTCTGTGCCCTCAAAACTAAGCTCTGTAGGCCCCCAGAGGCGCGCACTTGTTGGAGCCAGCAATGGGTTCGTCCATGCCGGGTGGCGCATCCTGCACAGAAAAGACAAAATTTCGTCAAAGAAGAGCAAAGCCAAGCCAAGCAACTGTTGTGTTCTGTCTGTTTCTGTTTCTCCTGACGGAGAACGGTGTCTGCATCTTCTGGCTTGTCAGCTTGATCATCATCAGCTCCTTGCCCCATTCAGGCTGCGCCAGTGTCAATGAAGCAGGCGAACAGCACGTTTGAATTTGAATATGCTTGATTGATGTTCCGTCCGATGCCTTTTGTGACGATGGCGATCGTCGGAGCCTCCTTTGCCTGCTCTGTCACTGGCACACTCCGACCTGGCAACACAACAGAGGAGTGCAGTGTGGTAGAACCAAAAACGTTACAGGCCTGCCTGTGGCAGGCGCCGTCTTCTTTGTCTGTCTTGCTGGCTCGTCTTCCTACTTGACCGATCCACCCAGCAGCAAGCAAGAGAACGCATTGTCCCCAAGGGCG